CTGATGTCTAACAGAAGCTGTGTGTGTATTGTTTGTGTGTGAAAGAGAGAGAGAGAGAAAGCAACTTCCCAAATTAAATGAACTCTTTGATTTCTGAACGACATCCTTCTGGACTTAATCAAGTCATGTTCTACATTTGGCTTCAGCGTATTTATTTAGTGTTTTCAAACTAGTTGTAGACAAGCTTCAAATTCACCTAAATATTCGGTCACATGCTGCACTTTTGAATCATTCACCACACCACATTTTAGGAAACTTACATTGAATTACAATTTCCCATGCAGCAAAATATGATCAAATAATTTCCTAAACTAATATCTCAACAATTAACTTCCTGGTAATATCCATCCCTGTACTGAGGTGAATATGAATATGTCCTTGGATAAACATTCTGAATCGGTTACACTTTAGGTTCATGCGTTAACATTAGTTGAACACATTAGTTAGCATGAACTAATAATGAACTGCGCGTATACAGCTTTTATTTAATGTTAATTTCAACCTTTACTAATACTTTATTAAAATCTTGTTAACATTAGTTAATTCACTGTGAACTAACATGAACAAACAATGAACAGCTGTATTTTATTAAGTAACGTTAACAAATATTAAAAAATACAGTGACAAATGAATTGCTCATTGTTAGTTCATGTTAATACATTAACTATAATGTTAACAAATGAACCTTATTGTAAAGTGTTACTTTCTGAATCATCTCTCCATACACTCTAAACAATGCTGGGTTGTTTTGACCCAAATTTGGGTCAAATATGGACAAACCCAAATGTTGGGTTAAAAACGTAATTTAAAATTTTAACCCAACTTCAACTTTCACTTTCAACTGTACATTTTTTTTATTACATTTTTAACCCAACATTTGGGTTTGTCCATATTTGACCCAAATTTGGGTTGAAACAACCCAGCATTTTTTAGAGTGTAACCCTTTAAGGATATATTCCTCACTGCATATCATTCCATGATATCGGAATATCTTTGTCATTTTAATATCGCAGCTTTGTACACTTGTAAATGTGAATGTGTTTGCATGTTCTTTCCTCAGTCTCCCTAAATTATACAAAGCAATCAGAACTTTCTCTGTTGCTCAGAGGAAGAGAAACAATTCGGAGGATCACGGCTTTAATGTTTCAATTTTGTTAGGTTTAATAATACATGGTTATTACTGTATGCCAGGCTCATGATGCATCTCTTTAATATGTTGTAAATAAAGGTTATGCATGTGTTTGTTTGGTTTTCCTAGCCTGCTGTTCATAAAGTTCACTTTCTATTTATTCTATTCTATTTCATGAACTGATGTAGAGATTTGAAGTCTTTAGTTTGGATAAACTACAGCTGTTCTCAGCTTGCTCACTCTCCAGCAGCCTCTCACCTTGACTTTACGGCGTGTGAAGTTTACCTGACCTTCTCTTCACATCCTTCTGTCGCCTCTGACCGCTGGACTGAGTGCAGGGAAGGTTCAGATATATACTCTACTGTTGCCTGAAAACAGTGTATCTCACTGAAATACGGATATTTTGGTAGAACCAAGAACCATAACAATTACTCATTAATTATCGATGAGTAACACGTCATGCCTTTGTATTTACATTTATGTTTTTTTCATTTCCTAAAAAAGACACAGTGATGCATTTCACCAATAGATTTCATTTAGCAGAAGAAGAAAGGAACACAACAGTACAGGTGGATCACATAAAGTGTGTTCGGAAAATGTGTAGTTTTAAAAATGTCTGCAAAAAATATAGAAGCAACACTTTAAAAATAAAGGTTCCAAAAGGGGGGTGTTTCACAGCAATGCCCTAGAAGAACCTGAGTTCCTCAAAGAACCTTTCAGTCAACAGTTCTTCAAAAAAGAACCATATTTTATTAGTTTGAAGAACATTTGAAAAATCTAAAGAACCTTTTTCTGATATAAAGAAACTTTTGTGCAATGGAACGGTTCCATGGATGCCAAAGGTTCTTGATGGAAGGCCAATAAAAAACCTTTATTTTTTTTTTAAATAAACATTGTTGTAGCATAAACACCTGTTCTAAACCAGCTGATTTAAAGCAATATACAATTACTAAAATTTAGTCAGTTCATCCTCAATCAAATTCTTAAAAAAAAATAAAAAAATAGCCACAACACATTTGAATGATTTTAATGCCCTTCACATTGAGCAAATTTAAGAAAGTTTATTCAGTTATGTAAAATAATCCTAGCTGTAATACATGTATTTGTTCTTGCTATTTAAATTGTTCTTTACTTAATCTGATGGCCATGTTACACCATGCATCTGATCTTCAGCAATAGCATCTTTAAACATTTAGGAAAATAAAAATAGGTGCAACTTGCAAGGAGTTCATCCACTTGCTATGTGATCAATGAGTAATTTGGGGTTCTTTCTGTGTCTTTTTTAATTGTATAAAAGCCCCAGTTCCTAACCTTTAATCATCTCATACCACATATAATTGACAGTCATTTGGGTTTCCCCTTTTGATCTTTTTTTTCCTTGACTGCACACATAACGTCTTTTGAAATATGACTTAATCTAATTAGTCTACATTTAATGTGGTGTACAAACTGTTACAAGTTTGTTATTCTTTTGCATTGTTTGTCAATTATGCTGTATAACTTACAGTGTAAAAAAGTGATTTATGTGGTAACATCTAAATAAATTAGTGTCATTTAATTAAAATATATGATTTTACCAGATTAGTCAAGGTTACATCAACGGGAGTCTTTTTTAAGTGTCAGATTTTCCACTTTTGATTGTTCAGATTGTAGCTAAGTGAAATCCATGATCTGTTGCTTTTCATGTTCTTCTCAACCGACTGTTAGACGTGGAGAATCTTTTAACGAAAAGTTGTTTATGCTTTTTGACAAGTATACCAAGTTTTCTGTTTATATATATTAAGCCTAGCATATTTTTGTCTGTGAAAAGGCTAGAAAAACAATGTTTCCATACCGATATTCAAGAATCAAAGAATAACCCACAGCTATTTAATTATATTTTATATAAGTCAAGGATACGTGTGAATTAAAAGGAAAAGGCTAATAAGAAATTCAGCATAACTATTTTACAACCAATTCAGATGTGCATATCCTTAAAGCTTAACATCTCTTGATCTTCAACTGCAATGTCATGAACTTCCAACTCACCAAACCCGCAACAATTCCGTTTCAAAACTACCTGATATTATCACTCCAAATTATCATTCAGTATCCAAACATTTTCCGTGTATATTTTTTGAGCAGTTTAACAACAAATCTCATCAATTCACATTCAGCAAAAAAAAAAAAAGTACTGAGACCTTCGTGAAAACATTTCATTTCACTCAGGTGCTAGAAACGCTCCTGGAGGGGTTTCTTCTTTTCTTCTTCTTTTTTAAACATAAAAACTCGGAAAGGTTTCGCCCCTTTGCATTGAGCATGTCGAGAGGCTTATTGAAGACCCTTGCTCCCCCACCCCCTACACACACACACACACACACCCGCTGGGCGGAGGGGGTTGGGGTGGTGAGGAAACGGGCTGGTTTGCCCTGGAAGTGATTCTTCCCCCAAAACACAAGGTGAAATGGAGCATCGGAAACTACACGTGGGACCTGCCCTCTTCATCCTTCATTAAATCAAACATTCTCTTCAGGCGTACAACCACACATATTTAATCGCTCAAGCAGTATAGAATTTTACTTGATGTTAATAGCCTACTTGATTAATTATCTTAAGAGAAGTTATTTTGTTCAATAATCATTTGAGAATTGAATCTGACAAGATTTATAGTGAGAAAACATCAACAGGACACTCCAGACGTTTCAAGTCCAAAGTCCAAAGTTTGTTTGCTTGTGAATGACCATGTTTATGCCTGATATCTTGATTTCTATGTGAAATTATACAGAATAATTTTACATGCCTTCCCCATATAATCATCATCCTCTCAATGCTTTTGTTTGATTTTTTTGTGTTTTTGCTTATTAAATTGTTCTCCACAAGATCTGATAGTCACTGTGACTGCAACACAAACATCTGGTCTTTTTTTTGGGAAAATAAAAATAGATGCATAGTTTTTAATGTCAAGGGAGAAAACCTCAAAAGGACTTTGATAGAGGTTTTGAAGATCATCCCAAGTTTGTTTACGATTGGTAAATAAGGTTGTATGACCATTTATGGTTCAACTGTGGTTGATTTCTAATTGATTTCATTTTTTTAATATATATTTTAATTTTTAATTAGACTGAAAGTACACTTTAAATAAACAGTGACTCCAATGCTCATTTTAAGTTTATTTTATATTTGCAAAACATAAACAATATAGCCTAAATAAGAACAATACTTCAGTAAACCTCCTATAAAATAAGTTTCCTATATTTGTATAAATTATACACTGTGAAATGTTTCCTCCATTTAACCTGTCACAAATAATTTCTAAGTTTTTAAGGTGTAAACTTTTAAACTTTCTTTTTTTTTATCTAAAAGTGCAGTAAACTTACACTGCAAAATAATTGATGGTTTAACTTAAAAAAAGCAAGTAACCTGGTTGCCTGAAAAATTTTAGTTCATTGAAATAAAGAATTTGATCCAATCAAAATTTAGAAAAGCATTAAAAAAAAACTTCATGCAAATCCTCATACTTCATCCATACTTATGTCAACACGTTAAATTAATCGTTTAATCCAGCTTTTAATTACTTATGACTACTGCTTAAATAGAGATTTACCTATCAAAAGAGTCACGATAAAAGTTTGTATTGCATTACAAAACAAAACAGCGCGGCGTAGGTATAAAATAAAGAGCTTGTTGACTTAGTCACCTTGCATTAAACATGCCTGCATTAAATAATTTAAAAACGCTATCGGCTGTCTCAATCCTTTTACTTTCGATATACAGCGATGAGACTCATCTGTCCAGCCGCTATCCACCATTAATCATAACGGTGTGTAAACTACAACCCCAAAAACACACAACACGCACACACGCACGCGCGCGCACAACAGTTTACCAGCCCCTGTGAAAAGTTTGTGAAAGTAGCCTGACGTCACACTCCCACAATGCTCGCGCGCCCCATAACTCTGCTGCTGCAGCCTGAGGAGCGCGAGACACTCAGGCCCCGAAAAAAGAAAAATTAGAGAAAAAAATTGGAAAAAATAATAAAACAACAGATCAAGAGGAGAAAGACCGGGAACGGTGGCGTGGGGCTCCCACGGTAGGTTTGCGCTTAGTCGGTGCTGGAATGTGACGGCGGTTCCTTGTGAAATTGACTAATGCGGCGCTGGAAAGTTTTTGGTGGCAACTGCTCGGTTTTTTTTCTGCAAGTCCTCATAATGTAGCTGCACGGTCTGATGTGTGCATGTTTTTTTAATGAGATCCCGATAATTAATACTGCTCGTTCGGCCGCTGATCGATATGGCAGATGATACAAGAGTGCTTCATAGTAATAACACCCTTGATATTTTCTCCCGAGCCGACGTCATTTATTTTTGGCTTATTTTTGTAAAACATTGTTGAGGCTCCGGGTATTTAATTTTTAATTGCACGTTCGCTCGCGCTTCGCAAACTTCATCGATAAATACAGCGCGGATGGAATTTGTTTACAAACCGATACATTTGCGTTTGATCGATCATCGGCTTGGCTGTGTCTGTTGATGTTCAGTGTGACTTTGGAGTGAATAGTTGAATTTTAAGTAATTTCTGAATATTTATGCCTGTGCTGTAGACACACACGAGCCGAAGCAGCGTTCCTGTTGAGTTTCAAACATTAAGTTTATACAAACGCGTCTGTCTATTAATAGTTCACTCCTTGATACGAGAAAATCTCTCTGGGCTGTAAATATACAACTATTTTGTGTGTGGTTTGTCTTGTACTGTTGCTCTCCCTCCATGCTGCTATGGCTTATCTGCTGCTCGTCATTTGTTTGCTACAGATCGGATGTTCCTGGGCGGATTGTGACTTTTGTATAATGTTTGTTTGTGTGCTCCAATGAAGAGGTACTTAACAAACAAGAGTGTCAAGCGGTGTCTTTGAGGTGTGGGAAACCTCGTTTTAATGTTCCTTTACATATTGCTTGGCATTGTGGTCATATGTGTGGCACATTTTGAAAGAATCTTTCTGCTAAGAAATAATCCCAGTGTGTGTGTGTTCAACTGTGAGGCACCAGTGAACTTTGTTTACACTGTAAACAAATTTAACCTACCAAATTGAAAACATACGTTTACGTTCTGCATTCATTTCGTAATTAAAATCAAAGCGTGCCACTTGCAGCGATGAGTTTATTAGGCTATACTTTTCTAACCATTTAATTTAGTCATTGATGAAGGAAATCTGCCATTCAGGACAAATGGCATGTATTATTTTAACAAGCTCATGGATGGACACAAATATGTTGTTAGAATGATGAACGCATGTTTACAGTGTCGTGAGCTCACTGAAAGCTTTCAAGGGATAAAATAAAAGTTTTGACCTTTGGTTGCAAATATGTTTATAAAATCTACTAATGAATCATTCGTAAAGATCATTGCAACACTATAGCCACATGCACATAACACCTGTAGCTGTGACATCTTTCTCATATATCTTTAAAAAAATAAACCCACTATGAAGTTTAATTGCTGCTTTAAAGTCGGTAGCAAAGTTACAATCTGCAATTTTTTTGGCCATTTTGAATATTGTTACTAATAACGAAAATGCAGTTGTAACACTGAAAACGTGTGAAATTAAGTGGGGAAAATTTGCAGAAATAGTTTTGACTAGTTTAATAATTACACGTTGTTTGGTCTTACTTTAGATTAGGGTCCACTTCTCACAATTAACTAACTATTAAATATGACTTTTTCCCCAATAAACTCCCAATAACTGCTTATTAATAGTTAGTATGGTAGTTGTTAAGTTTAGGCATTAGGATAAGGGATGTAGAATATGGTCATGCAGAATAAGCCATTAATATGTGATTTATAAGTAGCTAATAAACAGCCAATATCCTAATATGCATGCTAACAAGCATCTAGTTAATAGTGAGACTTGGCCCCTAAACTAAAGTGTTGCCCATTTTTTGCATTGCATTGCAGAGAGCTCTTTGAAGTGATTTGTAAGGGACAGAAATTGCAATCAAAGTTCATTTGTCATTGCTTTTGTATGAGCATAACTGCGACCAATCTTTAATTCACCAGTCGATGTAGCTGCAGCACTATATCCACATGCTCAAACACCTGTAGCTGTGTGACATCTCTTTCTCAAATAGACGCATTGATGGTTAAAACCTGCATTATTGAGTGAAAGTTTCTATTTGGCTTTGCTTTGTTATATCTCTTGCACTTGTTTGTGTTGCTGTGTGCGTTGAAATGCAGAATCTAAACGAAACATTTGACTTAAGCTGTGTGAAAAGATCTTGTAACAGTGATTGATAAAGAACAGGTTGTGACGAGCTCTTGTTCGGTGGTTGTGCTCCATCATGGCTCTCTACTTCCACTGCCTCGAGCTTCATAATAAGGAAATGGAAGTGAGACCGTCACGAGACAGTGCTTTTGTTATTGACATTGCATGTTGAAACGCATATTGTGATGTGTGAGACCGTTTAGTTTTTCAGCATTGCCTCTGGTTAGGAGGATATTTTGCTTCTGATGATCTTTACAATGGTTTGACCGATTAAAGCTCGTTTATTTTCATGTCGAAAGTGTTTTGCGTGTTAATAATTTAGGGAGAATTGGGAAATGGACTTAAATAGTTCTTGAAAATATTTCTGGTTCTTGTTCCAAGTTGAGCACATCCTTCAACGCGAGTTATTTATTTCAAACGTTTTCCTCGACATGTGCTGTCTTTTAAGATAACTCTGCTTTTTGAGAGATGTAGATGTTTTGGTGCGTTTCAAACAAACGTCTCAGCAGTTTATTTTTCATATTGCTGCTCATGGGTTCTCTGAAATAGCGTCTTACATGCTTGATTCAGTGTGTGAGTTAGAGAGAGAGAGAGAGAGAGAGAGAGAGCATGTGCATCAAGGGGGGGGGGGGGGTTCTCCTCTGAAAACATCCCACAATTCCTTGCTCCTCGGTGGGTAACAGGCTGATTATCATGAGAAAGCACATCAGAGGGGTTAATAGGTAGGACAGGCTTTGGAGAGCACAAACGCTACTTAATACCCAGTGTAGAATGGGGATCAGCCCTCATCTGAGTCCTTATATCCTCCACTTATAGCAGTGAGGAGTGAACGGGGACGATGCTGTGCCTGAAATTTGTGCCAAGTTACTGTGATATAGCTATTTATTTTGCATTATGATTTAAGTGTTGCGTGACAATAATACGGGCTTGTGGATCAGCCGATGAGTTTGATTGTATTTGCAGTCGTGAGCATAAAATGTCTGTTTGTTTTTTGGCTCAATCCAGGTCTGAAATGGGCACTGGGGAGTGTTTATGTGGGCAGAATGAACAGTAGCTGACCTGGTCACTCAGTCGCCCCATAAAAAAGGGAGGAGAGATAGAGAGAGATAAAATCAGGACAAGTTCACGAGGGCATTGTAACTCCGGCGAGCGTCTCAACACACCAGATTTGACTCTTATCAGAAGATGATTCATGTCAGAACTGTCAGAAAGACCAAAACATTTTTCATTTATCTGTAGACTTGTATGACTGTAGGAATAGAATTAGAAGAGTGTTTTTTTAGGGTTACTTAACAAAGCTTATTAAATTCTAAAAATTAAAAGTTAAAAACAGTAGATTGCACGTTAAATGTGTATTACATATATTATTGAATGCATATAGATGTAGAAATGAACTGGGTTACACTTTATTTTAAGGTGTCCATGGTACAGTGTAGTTATTATTATTAATTATTAGTACTTAAATGTATAATTAACTACATGTGCTTACTATAGGGTCAGGATTAGGTTTAGGGTTAGTTCCATGTAATGAATCAGAATTGATAGTAATTAGTATAGTAACTACATGTAACATGATGTGTAACAAAGAAACTGTAAAATAATGTGTTACTATGAACTGAATATTTAGTTAATTTTGCTTTTACTGTTTGTGAATACCTTTTTGTAAGTGTTAAAAGTTGTAATTTATTGCCATCACAAAAGAAACCATTAAAACACTCTTTTTCACATATAATATTTTTAAACTTAGCAGATATGGTTAACATAGTTAAAGTTTTATGAAAGAACCAAAAAATTAAGATTGATGATAATAATAATAATGTGGCAAACATTGACAAACGTTGTACTCTTACACATAGATTTTGGTCTTATAAAGTCAAATATGTTGATTACATTGAAACATTTCAAGAAACTGAATTGGATCTGTTTGGATTTTACAGTTAACCTAAAAAATGTTAACTAAACTAATAAAAAAAAAAGTCTAAGCAAAAACATATGACAAAAGTTTTGAATTTTTAAAAACAGTTTAACTGTCAAATCAGGTAGAGGTCACATAGCTCCTGAACGTATAGTTGCATAGTTTTGTTTTTACAGTGTGGAAATTCATAAATCTAATTGTTTATTATGAATTTCTTAGTAAAAAACGACTTATTTGATGTATTTTACTTGTGAACACATTACTTAAACATTTTTCTGGAGTATTTATTTTCAGTTCCATCATCACTAAGCTTTAAATGAAGAAGATTAAAAAAAAGAAAGAAAAATGTATAATTCTAACAAATAATTGTTATAACAGATCTAAACCGTATGTTGTGAGTAGAGAATGTCGTTCAGAAGGGGTATAAAAACAATTTCAGCCATCGCAAATCCAAGCTCATTAATAGGAGAAAGCTTCATCGAGTGAACCGAACTAAGAGTAATAGAAAAGAAACCCACACATAAACAGTACATGTGTAAATACACACTAATGTTCTTGACAGATTTGCAAAACAAGTCCAAACACAAAGTACACACGCCACACACCACAACCAAGTTGCACACGCACAAGAAAAGAGCATCTTTTTTCCCCTCGCTGGCACGCATTCTGACTGCACTTGCAGTATGCGGCGCCTTTAGATAGTAAGAAGACGCTAGATGTTTGAAACGCATAGCGCCGCTGTACATGAGCAAAGCTGTGCTTTTGAAAGCAGTCAGCCAGGTGTGGCTTTTCAAGGCCCGAGTCTATCCATCACTGAACACCACTTATGCTGCAACCCCTCCTTCTCTTCCTTCAGATCCCCCTCGTCCATTTTTCCACCCCAAAGATGGGTCTTCTTCCCCTCCGAGCTTCTTTCTCA